ACCTTATTGTATGAGCAGTCCATGTGGAAACAGAGCTGTCTCATTGAAGGCAGACCGCAGTCAGGAAGAAAATCTAGGTTGCATCCTGAGATTAACCTGAAATAACAGAGCCACCCTGTCTAGTCTGGTCTCCAAACAACAAAGCATGAGCACTTCCTGAAGGCTGGACTCTCGGTGAGGCGGGTTAACCCCGGAGCCTTTCAGGCTGAGATCTGAAGGTGTCACAAGCCCCCTGGACATGCTAAACGTTCGATGAAATCACCATTTTTAAATTGTGCAAGAACACACATAACATTGGTGAGCGTGGAGATCTCATGGGTTTTTGTGTTTTTAATTTGGCAAGTCTTCACATGCATTTCTGTGCACCCATAGAAGATATCTGACCAGGTTTTATGTGCTGAGGGGTTCCTTACAAGTGACATCAGGTTACATCTGCAGTTCTGTAACTTGCTTCCCCCACTGGTGTGTCTTGAGACCTTTTCAGATCTGTAGTCTGCAAAGACTTGTGGAAGTAGGATAACAACATTACTGGGTTGATGGGATCTTGGTGGAAACACAAAGCTGCTGTGTGACTTGGTCCTAATGGTTCTCTTGGGGACGTTAACCCTACCACCCCTGCTGCTGGGATGAACCCAGGACTTGGCACGTGGCATGCTAGGCAGCCTCCCATCAGCCTCATCCCAGCCCCTGGTTATATTTTTACTTTGAAAGAGAGTCTTGCTAAATCGCCTGCTGACCTTGAACGTGCCTCAGCCTCCTGAATTGCTGGGATCACAGGTAAGCACCACCATACCTGGCAGCTCATCTTTTCTGAGGGGGTCTTCAGGGGAGTCCTGTGGTCAGGGATGGATTGGGGGGTGCGTGTCTCTCCAAGCCATTGGTGGCTTGCTGCCCTATGGCTTCAGCCCTGTCTCCTGGGTGGCTGGAGGCTTCACCTCGGGCAAGTTTCCCTGTTGGTCATCCTTCTCCCCCTGCGGTATTAGTGGAATAAGAAAGCCTGTGGGGACAGACTGCCCTGGTTAAATCCTGGCCAAACTATTTGCAATATGAATTTTTCCCCCTTCCAGAGAGGCCAAGGGCCCCAAATGACTGCTCTTTGGAAACAACCTGAATGCCAGCCAGTTTGAGAATGGCCCCTGAAGGAGGTGCATCCACAAAGGGCAGTTCGTCCCCTCTTCTCTTGGTGGGTTCCCTGATAGGTGCTCCAGGACACTGCCTTCTGAGCCATAGCAGATGCCCAGAGGAGGGGACCAGAGGTCTTGCCTGGGAAGCCATCTCAGGGCTGGGCTCAGTCACCAGGGGTTCCATGATCATGGGTGTCTCACCTGGCCAGATCATGAGCTGTGTCCAGCCAACTGATGAGCTCCGTTGAGGTCACCCATTTTCTTTTTAATTTAGTGATTTGCCAAGATTAAGATTCACGAGGGTCACCTTTCATTTTTTAGCCCTTCAAAACAGCACCCATGGAGCATCAGGGATGTGCTAAGAAGGGCTGCAGGTGCTGGACACTCAGGGTGAATTAAAAACAGCTCTTACACCAGGACCCCAAATTCCAGAAGGCAAGACATGCAATAAGCAAGAAAAAGTATAGAGTGTGGTGAGCTCCAGTGTCTTCCGAGAGCTGGGGACGGCAAATCCACTGGACCAGACGCGGCAGGAGAAGGCATTAAAGTGGGCTTGGAGCCAGATCTGGGTTCTGCTTTAATTCGCCTGCACATAGTGGTGTTGGTGAATTCCTGTCTTTTGAGTGATGTGGGAAGTTGTGGCCTTCCCAGTGATGATATTTTTGTAAAGAACAAACTTGTTCATTCATTCATGCAACCATTTTGAGTGTGGGTGGGTGTTATGCCAGGAACTCATTCTTGAAGAGCAGGCACAATTTGGAACCCACAGAATTCAAGACTAATCATAGCAAGGGGTGATGGGAATGTCTATTCACCAGCTAAAGTGATACTAAAATAACAAGCACAGCTTACAATGTGCATATTTGGCTCTATTTAAAAATGTGGACTTTTGAGGAATTTGAAAATCGCCCATCTTCTCATCATTTCAAAAGCTGCCACCCAAGCTAATGGTTTAAGAATTTTCCAATAAAATCTAGTCGTGCTGCGTTTCTACAAAGTGACAATCCTACTCCTCTGTGACCCCACCTGCGTGTGCCTTGCCAGTCCCGTGTGTGCACAGCCCCCTGCGCCCCACTTCCTGCTTCTGCTGAATCCTGGACACGTCTCCTCGCTCGCCCCGCCCACGGCTGATTTGGAAACTCGGTGTAAACGATGGCAGTGAACTTGCGGCAGGCCCTGCTGTCTGAGTGCCAGAGCTGACTCTAGGAAAGCACTCTGCAGCCTTTTTCCTCGTTTGCCTCCATCCCACTCCTGGCAAGGTCCCCAGGGAGCTTAGTTTCCCGGCCACAGCTGGGCTTTTCCCGGGGCGTCCCCTCGGCGGGAGCGAGGGGATCAGCACCGCGGACGGCGCGCCAGGCGACTCAGCACCGCGGACAGCTCCGAGGCCGTCCTCCAGCAGGGCGTGTTCCAAGATGTGGGAGCTGCTTGGACCCACTCCCCAAAGCCACCCCTAGAGTCTCAGGGAGGCGAGTTCGCGTCATGCAGTCCTTCCTGGGCCACGCCTAGAGGCTCGGGTGTCCCAACACTCAACACGCCCATAAGGGAACTCAATTTTCCCTCAAAGGACCCGTGATCCTAGTCAGCGCGCGCAGGAGCCATGTGTCCCCTGGGCTCCACCTGCAGCTCCACCAGGACCGCGCAGCTCTTGTCCCCACTGCCTCCTGCCTCCAGGCCAGCTTCTGGGTCACCTCTTCCATGGCAGGCGTCTCCTCATGACCCTCCCTCTGCCCCTTCCCAGCCACCCCCCAGCAGGTCCAGTAGGCTTCTCAGAGCCCAAGCCCCAGCGCACCCGCAGCCAAACGCAAAGGCCTCCCTGGGCTCCCAGGACCTGGACGCCCCTCCGCCCCTCCGAACCTACATCCCATCCCCCCCCCCCCCCCCCCCGCGGCCTGGCCTCCTTGTCCCTTTGAACCTCATGTTCTCTGTCATGGATTCTCTCCTAACTGGCTCCTCCCTGCCCTCAGGTCTTCTAAAAGGGTCTCGCACTTACTGCACACGGAGCCGTCCGGCACTGGTGGAGGTCAGCACAGACTGCATTTCATTTTACATTCCTGGCCTCCCCTCCCTGTTGTCTGCTTCCGTGGCTGGAATACAGGCCGAGGTCACCCAGAGCTGCAGCTGCCAGTGGTTTAATAGCTGTAGAGTGAACAGGTGGGTGAGTGAGTGCACAAGTCCCTGCCCACAGTCACCTGTCTCCCCAGCTAGTGTGGAGGTGCCAGCAGCCCTCACATTCTGTAGAGCCAGGTCCAGGGCCTGAGGGTCGCATCAAGCTCCCCGAGACCACCGGGGCTTGGTGGTTCCCTGGCAGGCTTCACAAGTCAGCATATTGCTGTACTCACTGCGGTGACTTTCTACCGTGAAAGGGCAGGAACACAACCAGAAGGGCAAGGCCCACGGGCCTGCTGGTTTCCCTCCACCCCTCCACTGCCCGAGGCTGTGCAGGGGCAGGAGAACCAGGCCCCACGACCAGCTTCATCTGCCTCGGGAGGGAGCAGTGCTTCCAGCCACAGCGGATCAGTCTGGATTTTACTTCCATTTCAGGTTTTGACGCCTGAGATGGCCTTTCCATGCAGAGGGCACAGTACAGTTTCCTCTTAAAGGCAGTGTCTCAAAAGGTCTCGGGAAATGAGTCCAAGTGAAGTAAAAGTGCGAGGTGAGTAGTACTACAGGTGTGGGAGGGGGCAGTCTTGAAGGAGGTGTCCACTGATGCAGGAAGCAGAAGCCAAGGAGGGTGCGTGAAGCCAGTCTGAGCGGCACGGAAGTCAAGCAGTGGGATTCCCCAGTGCACCTTCACTTTCTTCTTTTCCTACGGAAAGCAATGATCTCCCAAGAAGCCCTTCGGATACTTTCTTTCCTCTGGGACTTTATTGTAAGAAATGTAAGGATCCAGCCAGGATCCCCCATGCTGAGAACCCCGTGTTCAGTGATTGCAGTGATAATACCAGGGGCTTCTGTTGAGTACTTGGTATGTGTGAGGTGCAGTCACTAACTCATGATGCTCAGACACCCCGCAGGTCGGAGCCATCGCTGTCTGCACTTTGCAGGTGAGGAAGCCAAGACCCAGTTACCATGACAGTGTGTACTTGGAGCTGTCTGGAGGTCCAGCTGGACCTTTGTGGCTCCTAAGCGGGGCAGTGCCCTGGTCCTGGCCCGCCATGACTTGTCAGCAGAGGAAGCACCGAGGGTTCATGAAGTGCCTTACTCTTTAACTCGTCTCTCCTCTTCACTCTGAACAAATGACTCAACTCCTCTGTGCCCTGTACCCTTCTCTGTAAAATGGGGACAATAATGTCTAGCACTTGAGGCTTTTGAAATTAAATGACATAATGTACGAAAGGGCCTTTGCTGACAGTATCTGCTGGAAGAATGACATGGTTTGGATGCCTTTCTAGAATACCAGTGCAATTCAATTGGCTACCCATTTGGAAAAGAAAAGCAAATCCTCACTTCACAGCATTAAACAGATATCCAGAAGATTCAAGTAACTGTACACCAGGCAGTAATGTATGGCATCACACGGAAAGGTGGGTCTGTGAGGTCAGAGGGTATCTTAAATAATACATCAAAGCAAAAAACAAATTGGATTCTTTTCAAAATCCAAAACTTCCAGCAATGTGTAAATAAAATGAAAAGGAACAGGGTGAGTAAGGATTCACCACAGACTGACGGGCTCAGGATCAATAGCTAGAATCTAGAAAGGTCAACTATCAACCGCTGTATAAGAGCCGCTGATACAGGGAGGCCGACAGGTAACTCACAAGCTAATCTGGCTCACTTTGTTGGTGATCCCGGAAATGCAAAGCCAGACGGTGGGGCCGCCACACCTAGGTCAAAATGCTGAGAGCCGCCGTGCAGGCGCCCCAGGGCAGCTCGCAGCCGCTCTAGGGACTGCGCGGGAGTCCTGGGGGAGGGTGACCCGGAGCAGCGCCTCTCTACAGAACGGGAAACCGAGGCACGGAAGTGTCCATGTCCCCACGACATTCCAGGGCCAGGTGGCAAGGCAGCTCCTGACCTCCAGCAGGCGGGTCTCAGGTTCCCCGGGGCCGTGTGTAAAACAGAAGAGCCTGCAGGGGCGTGTGCACAGCTTTCGTCCTGAGTGCGACAGCAGCCGGAGCGCGAGGTGACCTACGTGCCCCTCAGCGGGGGCTGGACGGCTCATCCCACTCTGGCTGGACCCTCGGGGCCTGCCCAGAACCTCCCTGTCCCGCAGCCAAGCAGCGGGCAGAGTTCCGTCGTCCTTCCTCCTCCGCTGCTTCCAGGTGCAGGCTCCCAGGGCGGGGGAGGGAGGAGGCTGAGGGAGGAGGCTGCCTTCGCTCCGGTCTCCCCACCTCCCACCTCCCACCTCTCACCTCCCACCGCAGCCTCCGCGTCTGCGCAGCCGCAGTCCGCAGCGCCGGCTCTGCAGTGCCCCGACAGGGTCTGGTTGGGGAGGGTGAGTCCTTAGAGCGACCCCACGGCGGGAAGGGGAGGGGAGAGGGGCTGGGGGCGTGGGCAGGGACCGGAGGCGTGCGCGGGTGTGACTTGAGAGTGTGTTTGTGTACGGGGCGAGGCGCAGAGGCTGGGGGGGGGGGGTCTGGACAGGGAGGGTTTCCAGGCCTTCAGTGGGAGGGGCTGGGGGTTCTGTCCAGGTGGGGTCCCTTTCTCTGCCCACCCGCCTGAGGGTTGCGTGAATTTCAGCTCCGGTGAGGCGGGAGATGGGACCCCGCGCGGAGGAGCGCGCTTTCGGGCCCTGGCTCCGCGTGCTGCGCGCACGTGCGCGCGGGTCTGGGGTCCCGGGTCGGTGCGCGGCCCTCTGCCTCCGGGAGCCGCGTGCGCACCTGCGCGTGTGTGCCCCGCGTGTGTGCCCCGCGTGGGCCAGGAGCGCGCTGGCCGGGAGCGCAGGCTGCGAAGCCGCACCGTGCGGGATCCGGGCTCCCTGCGCCGGGCTTGACGGAGGGCCACACCCGTACCCTGAGAGCCGCCCGGAGTGCTGGTCCCCGCCGGTATGGGCATTACCGTGTTGTTGTGGGTGCTCCTTCTCTCGGCCTCTCTGCCCTTTCTCCTCGGCTGAGGCCCCGTGGCTATTTCACCACCGAGAACACCCACCGAGGCTGAGATGCGGGCCCCTCCATTCCTCCGTCTGCTCCCCTCCCCATCCCCTTGACCTGGTCACATGGGTGTGTCACCTCTCCTGCCTTCATCCCCCTCTTCCTGGGCCCCCTCCCTTGATTAGTCGTGTCTCCTGTTAAAAACAAGAAGAATAAACCAAACAGACTTCCTGGGAGTGCTCTCTCCCTCACACACTCTTGTCTGTATGTGTGTATACATATAATTTCTTTTTCTTGAGAACAGTCCATGCTGAATCCTCACCTCTCCTGGCCAGGCACTTGTCCTCAGCCACCTCAGGGTTAGCTCAGCTTCATGACCTGTGCTGCTTGGCTCATCCCGTGTCTTCCTCTTAAACATCTGACATAGTCGTGGACACTCTGAAATGCAGAGGAGGCCGGGCACGGTGGTGCCCACCTGTAATCCCAACAGCCAGCCGAGCTGAGGCAGGAGGATGGCAGGTCCAAGGCCAGCCTCAGCAACTTAGAGAGATTTTCTCAAAATAAAAGATAAGAAGGGATAGGATGCGGCTTAGTGGTAGAGTGCCTCTGGGTTCGGTCCCCTGTGCCACAAAAATAAGATAAAATGCAGAAGACATCTTCTGAGAAAAGGAGACCTCCATCTTCTCTGGACAAGCTGGAAGGCTCTGGAGAGCCCACCCTAAAGCTGCTGGGTTACCAGGGCAGCGCTTCTAACTGGGGAGGCGCTCTCCTTGTGCCACCCTTCCCTCTCCCCTTCCGCACCCCCGGCCACACAGCAGTTCGCTTGCTTCCCTTGCAGTGGTCAGTGTCCCTCAGGGTCCGCGTGCCATCTCACTGTCAGAGAGTGGAAGTAAAGCCAGAGGGGCTCTTTGTCGTTGCTTTACACTGTTCCATTTGTGTTACTGCCCAACCTCTGGGTGCATTTGGGTTCGACCCTTACTGGCAGGTTCTGACCGCAGGCACTCGGCAACTGCTGCTTTTGACCCTGTCTGCTGCCTGCCCTCCAGGAGGACGTGGGCTGTTGAGTTCTCAGATTCAAATTCCGTGCCCAACACTCAGCAGGGCTCTGGTGCAAAGTTCTGGCTGAGAAACAGTTGGAGAAGGAGGTGATGCTGGACCATCCATGGGTGGCAAATATTTGCAGGGTCCCATGGAGGTGGTGTTCACACTCAGCCTTGCAGGACGGGCAGGGTTTGCTGCCTTCTGCAGAGACCGTACCTAGATCACCTTCTGTCAGGGTAGGAGGCTCAGCGCCTCTGAGTCAGCAGGGAACATCAGCCCTGGGAGGTGGGGGTGACCCGGGCCAGGCAGCAACCAGTGCATGGTGAGTGGGCACCTCCACGCCTTGCCTAAGCCCTCTGCCTCAGCAGCAGGAGTGACCCTCTCTCACTCGGGCAATGCCCGTGCTCGCATGCTCTCCATTTCCCCTGTGAATCAATCCTCTGTTTCTCTCTTTCAATGGTTGTGTTTTAACACCTGTGATAGGCAGCATGCTGACTTCCAGAAGATGCGCGGGTCCAAGTCCTCAGCACACGTGACGACGTCTGGTGGCCTGCTGAGGAGCAGTGAGGTTGCAGATGAGATGTGGGGACTCATCAGCTCAGCTGGAGATGAGCAGATGAGCTGGGTGATCAGGTCAGCCCGGGGGATCCAAGTGTCCTCAAGCATGGGAGAGGGAGGCAGGAGGGTCAGTGTGAGAGTCGAGTGGTCATTGCTGGCTCTGGAGGTGGAGGAGGGGCTGGCAAAAGGGGGTCTGATGGTCCCCGAAGCCTCCGTAGGGAGCACTGTGTCATCCCAGTGACACCCATCTCAGACCTTTGACATGTAGAATAGTAAGATAATAAATTTGGTGTCTTAAGAAACCAAATTTGTGGTAACGTGTTACAGTATCCAATTCATTTCGCCCCTAAAGGGGTCCTTAAGTCAGACTTCACGATGTCACAAGGCAGGTGGTGCAGCAGAGTCATTCTAAGCAGCATGAGCACACCAAGAGGTCATTCCCAAGCCAGAGTCACTCACTGCAGCAGATGTGTGGCAGACCACAGATGCGCTCACAGGACACTTAAACAATGGTACCTAGTGTCCTTTTTTAGTGAAGTATAAAAATCACATAGTGTAAATTAAACACGGTGCGTATTCCAGTGAAAGCAGAGCTCCGTGAACACAGGGTTGAGGCACGTGGTCACTCAGACGAGACAAAGCCGCTCCGGCCAGTGCACGGGCCACCTAGCATGAGTCGGGCTCTGACCTCCCTCCACACCAGTGCATCCTACCTGGTCCACACACAGAGCTGGCCCTTCTCACACACACACATACACAAAGAGTAGGCCCTTCACACACAAACACACACAGAGTAGGCCCTGCACACAAACAAATAGAGTAGGCTCTACACACACACACACAGTAGGCCCTTCACCCACACACAGAGTAGGCCCTTCACACACACACACAGAATAGGCCCTTCACACACACACACAGAGCTGGCCCTTCATACACAAACACACACACACACATAGACATAGAGGTAGCCCTTCACACACATACAAAAACACACACAGAGGAGGCCCTTCACACACACAGAGTAGGCCTTTTAAACACAGAGAGAGTAGGCACTTTACACACACACACAAAATAGGCCCTTTACACACATACAGAGACTAGGCCCTTTACACACACACAGAGTAGGCTCTTAATGCACACACAGAGAGCAGACACTTCACACACACAAACAGATAGGTCTTTCACACACACCCAGTGTAGGTTCTTCACACAGACACACACAAATAGGCCATTCACATAGAGAACAGGGGGCCCTTCAACACACACACAAATAGACCCTTCACACACAGACAGTAGGCCCTTTCCACTCTAACAGAGGAAGCCCTTAACACACACATGCACACGCACACACAGAGTAGGCCCTTCACACACACACACAGAGTAGGCCTTTCACCCACACACACACAGTAGGCCCTTCACACACACAGAGTAGGCCCTTTACACACACACAGAGTAGGCCCTTCAAACACACACACAGAGTAGGCCCTTCAGACACACAGAGTAGGCATTTCAAACACACAGAGTAGGCCCTTCACACATGCAGAGTAGGCCCTTTACTGACACACACAGAATAGGCCCTGCACACACACACACAGAGTAGGCCCTGCACACACACACACAGAGTAGGCCCTGCACACACACAGAGTAGACGCTTCACACACACAGAGAGAGTAGGCCCTTCACACACACAGAGAGAGTAGGCCCTTCACACACACACACAGAGAGTAGGCCCTTCACACACACACACACACAGAGTAGGCCCTTCACCACACACACAGAGTAGGCCTTTCACACACCCAGAGTAGGCCCTTCACACACACACAGAGTAGGCCCTTCACCCACACACAGAGTAGGCCTTTCAAACACAAAGAGAGTGTAGACCCTTCACACACACAGAGTAGGCTCTTCACACACACACACACAGAGTAGGCCCTTCACACACACAGAGTAGGCCCTTCACCCACACACAGAGTAGGCCCTTCACACTCGCACACACTTACAGACACAATAGAGACTGAGCCCTTCACAGGCACAGAGAATAGAACCTTCAATCACAGCACAGTAGGCCCTTCACACATAAACACAGAGTAGGCCTTTCAAAGACAAACAGTTGGTCCTTTGCACACACATACAGAGAAGGCCCTTCACACGTACCACAGAATAGGTCTTCACACACACAGAATATGACCTTCACACGCACACACTGAGTACGCCTTCACACACATAGAGTAGGCCCTTCACACACACACAGAGTAGGCCTTTCAAACACAGAGAGAGTAGGCCCTTCACCCACACACACAGAGTAGGCCCTTCAGACACACAGAGTAGGCCCTTCAGACACACAGAGTAGGCCCTTCACACACACAGAGTAGGCTCTTCACACACACAGAGTAGGCCCTTCAAACACACACACAGAATAGGCCTTTCACCACACACACACACAGAGTAGGCCCTTCACACACACACACACAGAGTAGGCCTTTCACACACACACACACAGAGTAGTCCCTTCACCACACACACAGAGTAGGCCCTTGTCCTTCACACACAGAGTAGGCCTTTCACCACACACACAGAGTAAGCCCTTCAACACACACACAGAGTAGGCCCTTGTCCTTCACACACAGAATAGGCCTTTCACCACAAACACAGAGTAGGCCCTTCACCCACACATACAAAGTAGGCCCTTCACCCACACACAGAGTAGGCCTTTCAAACACAAAGAGAGAGTAGGCCCTTCACATACAAACACAGAGTAGGCCCTTCATCACACACACAGAGTAGGCCCTTCAACACACACACAGAA